GTAAACTGCAACAATCTTTAACGTGGCTCTGTGTATCCTCTTTCTACGGTTGTTGAGAGAGGGTGAAAGAGAGAGAAAGGAAACATGGCAGAGCATAGCGCAACACAGGCAACTATCGTGAGGTAGTCGGATCAATATTCCGTCCGGTCCATCCTCTGACCCATATCTCTCTTTCTCTCTTACTTACCTGTTCCTCTACCCGGCTGTCTTTCTCTTGCTTTCTCCTCTCCCTCTTTCTCTCTCGCTCGCCTTTGACCGGATTCTCTCTGCCTTCACCTTTTTGGAGCTTCGTTTGTCGGCGAGATTGCAGGGGTTGCTTCATTTTTGACGTGGAGTATTTTTTTTTTTCTTTTTTAGAAATAATTTTTTGGAGCTTCGCGTATGCAATTCTACGTGTTTAAAAGTTGTTGCAATTGTTTCGCGTCGGTGAATAAAAGTTGGACGCGAAGTATCGAGATTTTTCGGGATTTTCTTTGATTTTTGTGGCTAGCCTCTCGAATCAGGCATTGTACAGATATTCTTGTTTCTCGAGCACGTGATGCGCGTTTTCTTTTGATTATCGAAGTGAATTTTTGGAATCGTATGTGCTTGTTTTGCAACTCTGTTTATTATTGTATACTTGAGCACCGGGTGGATTGTATGTATTTCTAGTCGCGCTAGTATAACCCTAACTTTAGCGCCAAAGTTAGCACCCAAAAGACACTGTGATATTATTTTAAATATACACATATATAGATTATAACTTTCTTTTTTCCGCTTCAACGTAATTAATTATAATTCTCCCGGATAATTCGTTCTCCTTCCTTCCTTCCTTCCTTCCGAAAAATAAATACTTTGGGAAGTTTCATTAATTTTCTTATTCAAATATTTATCCCGTTACTATTTAACATCAAAGCAAAACGCAAATAGCAAAATGTTAATAATTACCTCAAAAATACAGAAGAAATTTTGTTCGTTTTAATTACTTTCTTCATTGATTGAACTTACTGCTTTCGAAAAAACCTTTCAACAAAATTTTTGATTCTTCACAATTAACGAATCTCACAATTAAGATCAGACAATTCATCCTCCCTTCCTCCCCAAAAATAAATATTTTCTTCTCACCGAGAAGAATGAATTCCTTTAAAAGCTCTATAATAAAAACATTCATGTATAATAAATGTAAAAAGAAAAAACACACACATACACAGCATTCTTCTCCGAAAACTATCGTAAAAATTTCGCCTTGAAATTACCGCATCCCCGTTAACAAGCTTGAAACACGAGCGCGTTTAATCGCGGCCATATTTTTCCACCCCCGCGGAAACCGGTTCTAAGGGTAAGAAACCCGCGTTTCCCTCCTCACTCCATATCGCGCTATGATGTTTCAGCGAACAACTCGGGCTCTTAACGCGCTCTGCTGCTTTTTTTTTCCTTTTCCTTTTTTTTTTTTTTATTTTCCCTCCTCTCTGACCTATTTTCCACGCGCACCCTCCTCCCCTCCTTTCCCTCCCTTTCCTCCCCTCCATCCCTTGTTCCACCGTTGTCTTCCCCTTTTGTCCACCGTTTTTCTTACGTTTCTCCCTCGCGACTCTGCCGCCTCTCCGAGTTCATTCATTCATGTCCATCCAGTCTGACTCGTTACTTTTCATCCCCTGACCTACATATCCTCCTCGTCGTCTTTTATTTACGTATTCCTTCTCGACCTGGGTATCACTGTCCGCTCGATAAATGTATAAATCGCTCCTTCTCCCGCCCCCACGCTTCCCAGTCTCACCCCCTCTCGAAAGGGGGTGGTTAAGAACGAGGATAGGAGGATGCACGGTTTCTATCATCTTCGATTTATTTTTATTCCCTCGTATTTATAAATAAATTTCTGGAATATTAATACGAAAATTTGCACTCTTCAGAGAGAAATGTAATTTCGTTTCGAAACTTTATCAACTAACTTTATCCTTTATCCCTTATCTCAGAATTATATATTTTATATGGAGAACGTAGAAAATTTTTCAAACGTGGATAAAAAAGTAATCAACGTATCTTTAATATTTTTCTCGATAATTGTAAATAAATATATATAATCTTTGGAAAGTTGTCCCAAGAGGTTGCGATACGCAATATTGATATACATTTAATTAAAACGGATTATATATACACGATTGTATATATACACACGGTGAAAATATCAATCGACAAGGAGACGTTATTCGAGGAGAAACATTGGAGCGGTTCGGTCGTCCAGCCGACAGGTTGCTTAATTATTAATATTGGCTGCAATTTCATCCTGCTTAAGATCGACAAGTAGGTCGCGGGACTGGTTTTGGCGCTCTTTGTTATTTATCGTGCGACACGATCGAGCACGCACGCCCCTCTTCGAGAAAATGTCAACGGGGAGTAGTAATATCGCGATTGAAATTCGTTTCTTCGGCCCGTGTCCTCGATATACTTCGTATACTTGGTCGCACGCGTTGCTACAGGGTGTCTTGTTTCGTCTTCTAAAATATCTTTTCGAGGAAAGAAATTTTTTTCTCTACGAAAGGAGATGAATTGCAATTATTTTTCCGTGCGAAGATCGTCTTTGATCCTTCATTAATTGGGAACTTTAAATGTAATGGATGCTTGTCGTAATATAGAAACTTGTTGTTGTATTAAAAAGTTTAAGAGAGTTTATTGTCGCTTGTTTTTGAAGTTTGTAAATTGCGTGAAAACAAGTGAACAAAAGTATATCGCATCGTGTGCTCCCAATCTTTTATATACGATATAAATTTTACTCAAAAGTATCTCCTAAATTATCGATTATTCTTCGGCATAAATAGCTTAATACTTTTTTGTGGAATATAAAAGTTATATCGATTGACGGATAAGGTGATTAAAAGTATAATATTATTTGATATGATTAAGGAATAAGAGGAGGAAATCCTATATCAAATAGTCAAAAATATATCTTTTCCTCTTGATATCTCATTTTATTCGGATAAAAAGGACACCCTGTATTAAGTGTATCTTTCAAAATACGGTGTGAATGCGCGTGTGGCCTTCTCATTATCGTGGGACTCGCGAATGATAAACGCAATCGATTCGAGTGACAATTTTTTTTCTTTCTCCTTTTTTCCCCTTTTTCCTTTTTCTTCTTCTCTCTTTTCCTTTCTTTTCTCCTTCCTCCGCGCGAATGAAGCGTGTACACTGTTCCCGATCACGGTGTTTGCTTCTTCGCGTGCATAACTCTCGCGTTGCATCGTCAGAAAGAAGTTTTTGCTCCAACGAGCCTGTTTTTCTCTTTTGACGGAGGATCTTGCTTTCTTCGCGCATCGGTTTCTTCATTCACGCTTTGATGTGAAATTATCTTTGAGAAGTTCGAGTATCTTTTCATACGGATACTCGAGGAATTATTTAATCCCTGCTGAAAGAAAATTTTTTTGTCTTTTTTCCTCTTCTTCTTAATCTTCTCCGCGCCAACCCTTTATTTTTTGGGGAGCGGAGAAAATTTTTTTCATCTCGAAATTATTCGCATTAACTGATATGATATAAAAGAATAAATTCGTAAAAGTTTTTTTCCTAAGTGAAATGAAATTTGTTTTGGGAACAGATTGGGCGACAGGCAATCGAGGACAAAGGCGGAAATTTCTAAGAATTACACATGTGTAAATATTATTTCCAAATGTTTATAGCCGTGTACACGAGCAAAAAAGTTGCTTGTTGGAAAAGGCCTTGGAACCGTTACAAGCAAAGCGTAACGTCAACGATTCAACGATACTCGCCACCGAGTTCTAATCAAGTATCGACGAAATATAGGCGGAGGGGAGGGGGAGGGCGACGAGCATCGCGATTCGTTGATTTCAATCTGCGAAAGGTTGTCCGCCGTAATTGGTAGATTTCTCGTTTCCGTTTCGCTTGTTGTGAACGTGGGTGACAAAGCTTGCGCCACGATACACGATCGATGATTAACCTTCTTTTCATCTTATATCCGTGAAATTCTTTATTCAACGAAACGATAGAAATCTCTATTCAAAAAGGGGAAAAAAGGAAAAAGGAAAAACATATAAATACACGTTTCTATTTGTTCGATAAATTAATCGATGCTCTTCGATGGAAATATGTTTGATCGATCAAAGAGAAATAGCGAAGCAATAATATTTGGTAAAAATAATTCATCGAATTATTGATCGATCATTCGAGGAGATAATATTTATTTTTTAAGTGAAAAACTGGTCTTGATGCATGGGATAAATATTGAATAATGGATGTGGTAATAATCGTGGTAATAGTGTTAGGGAGAAATTTAATAACAATGATAATAAACGTTGCATATTGAGAAAGCAATTATTTTCATCAAGAATCAAACGACAAATAACAATGGCAATTAAATAAATAATTTATTTCGTGATGTGACAAATAAATCATTTAATTGTGAATATATTAATTCGCTCTTTATACACTTTATTAAAATAACGGTTATAACTGTTGTTGATTATGGAATATAATAATGCGACTACGCTTTTGTCGTGTAAAATTTTTTTCAACCCAGTTTTCGTATCATCAAGATCTTATTGTATAATATTATCGCGAGATAATTGATACGCAATTTAAATGCGCATTATTTGCGAGAGATTTAATTTTAATTCGAATTATAAACGTAAATATATCCCGTTACATAGAGGGATTATCAAATTATTCGAAATATGTTACATAATATTTGAACGCTCTACATCAGACACAATATATTATCGATCCCATTTTAATAATATTTTTATAATATATCTCGAATATTGAATAATTTTGAATAGTTTTAAAAAAATATATAATTCGTTCGTTTAAAGAAATTCCATATATTCCATAAACGATTGACAAACGATTTTTTCAAATTTTCAAGGAGTATAGAAGAAAAAAATAAAACGTTTGTCCTCCTAATAATAAATAAATTAGATTAAAAGAAATTACAAACATACCGAATCTTCTCTTCGCATCCCCCCAATTAAATCATCGTATACTCGTCACTTGAAAATTTAAACAAAATCCTCCAATCGCATAAATCACTTTCGAGGAAAGTGGATACCGATTGGTTCGATCCGAATCCTCGTTCGATTACCGGTAAAAGTGGGAGGGTGAAATTGACGATTGAAATATCGCGCGTTTTCGAACGCCATCTTCGAAACGAGGCAAGCGAGGAAGACATCGTGCCACCGACTTCCGCTCAGAGCGCACCGGATCCACCATAAGGTGAACACGTGTCGTCGTGATAATAGCGTGATAGACACGCTCTGTCCAACGATGCCACCGGACGAAACCACGAATATCTTCTCCGTGATCAAGAGCGTGATAAGTGATCCGTTATTTAAGCAAATAGCCTCGCGGATAATTAACAAGGTAATAGATCTTTTTTTTAGAGTATTTTGTTCTTTTTTAAGGGATAGGGATTTTCTTTCAGATAAAGGATATCGTAGAGGAAAAGGAGCGAAATGAAACGAGATCACCGTTTAACACAGTTCAACCGTCTACTCGCGTTCGAAGATCGAAGTTTTATTAAGTGGAAAGCGTTTAAAAATATTCAAGAATTATGGTCGAGGGAGAAATTAATCGCGTTATAGATATGCCACACGAATATTTGAATATTATCATAGGTAAGAAACTTTCGAAATTATTATTTTTTGTATCATTGTGTACCACTCTAACATCGTGGAATGGACGACAAATTTTCTTTTTCTTTTCTCATTATCGTCGAGCGCAAGAAAAAAACAAAAATTCAAATCGAGTCAGTGGATACGAAATTCCATCCTCGCGTAATTCGACGATTCGTGGAAATTCTCGATCCGATCGAAAATTGGGAGATGAAGATCGAGAAAGGTCGTAAAGCGCGCGTTAGCAGGGCCGATTAAAAACTTTTATGTCCGCGCAACATGACGCGGCGACTTGTTTTTGTCAGCCGGGCCTATTTATACGCGCCTTTTGGCAGCCACGCGAGAAACTTCGTCACGAAGATCCCGTTTCCGTTTCGTCCCTCCTCCTCGTCTCTCTCTCTCTCGCCCACAATTTTCCCCAAACTCTGTCTCCTTGCCTCTTTCTTCCCTTTTTCCTAGATCACCTCGATATCACCTCGTTTCGTTTTCGAGAAAAGTGTAATCGTATTAATTGATCGCGATTTAATTTTTTGATCGAGGTTTAGGGTCGTCTTCGTATTCCTCCGTTTTCAAACGTTCTTTCGTTGGTTTCTTTGAGGATTTTTTTGAGGAGAGCGAATAGTGGACGTATTGATTCGTGATAATGAAGCGATTTTGGTGGAGGTGAATCAGGTTCGAGGTAGATTAATAATAGTGATACTTGGTTAGTTCGCGTATGGTCGCAAGATGGAAAGGATTGATGGAGCAGGCCAGATGGCCGACACGGTATCGCGTTTCCCTGGATTCTGTCTGCTGGATTACGCGAGTTTTGCCTCGGGGATCTCGGTTTTCGGGGCTCACTCTGTTTATAGTTATGCACGCTTGTTTGGATCTCTCGACGTCCATGACGATCTGGGCGAACGGAGTGGAAAATCGAGATTTACAGCAATTTTGTAACCAACTTTTTTCGATATTTTATTTTGTAAAATCGTTCTTTCTTTCGCGAAAAGAGTTTATTAAGATCGGTTCAATAATATTGCAACAGAGAAGATAATCTCTGTGCAAAATTAAATTTTCACGAACATGAATAAATAAAAACGTAATATATTTAGTTCTTTCTCATGTAGAGTTCTTTTTGCATATTTAAATTTTGCATAAATGAGTAATACGAATACTGTTAGTTATAAAGAAAATCTCGTAAAATTATGCGTACAAATATTCATTTATACGCATCTGTTCCTCGATATAACGTGTATCTCTAATATCTGTTTCTTTTTTAACGTTGCACGTGCTCGATACGAAAGGAGAGGCAGG